CTGGACCCAGCACCCAGTTCTAATAACTCGACGGATGAACAGTCGCCCCATTGCGAAAGATTATGGGTTTCAATTCCTACTCGGACACCTGGGTGATTCTTTAAATGTCGGAAAATCTATTTTCTATCGGGAGCTTACTTTTATCATATACTATATACATGAGAATCAAACATTTAAAATATTAAACCTACCCATATGTGAAGAATTCCATTCCATATATCCAAACTTTTCGTCATAATGAAATTTATAAATATTTCACTTTAAATTTCATGAGCGTGATATCACATCGTAAAAAATCTTTTATTGTGATTTTATGGTGTTAACATTATTGCAATAGGCGTATCTGTTTACAAACACCATGAAATCATGATTTAATAGGACATGCTTATGGGGATAGTAAGATAAATAGTAGATATTTCTTTCAGACAATATATTCTAATATCTATACTCCATTCATTATAGCATTAGACAGAAGTGAAATAAGGTTCTTTTTATGGTATACTTTGTGACAAAATATCAATAATCATGTTACTTTTAAGACTGACGGCTAATTTGCTACATATTCACTTAAATATCAGCTACTATACTTAACTGTTGTCATTTAAGCTTACTATTAAACAAATTTATGAGTATATGACTAACTTAAATGATTTAATAAGTATTACAATAAAAAGTGTCCATCGTAAAGAACCTAAAGAAGCAGGGTTGGATAGTTTCGGCATGATTCTCATGTCACTATAACTCTACCAAATTTAAAACGTTGCCTAACTCCTTCAAGCGTTTCGGTAGTACAGCTTTTTAATTTTGTCAGACTATTATTTATTAATAATTGTTAAAATCGTTATCTGGGATTGTCATCCATTGTGAATGCTACTGCTTTTCTTGTTGTTTAGCCGTTTTCCGTAATGTTATTGTTTTATTTTTGTTGTTAAGTTTTGGTAAATATGGACGATGTCGGTACAGGCCCGAGTGGCCTACAAAAATTACGCTCTAGGCCCCCATACCTACCCTCAAACTTTGACATTTCAGGGAGTTTTTTCAATGTCTTCATCAATAGTCTAACTTATTACACTTACAATTAGAATTTATCAAAACACACAGATAGTTTCAGTTTTAGTTCCATGTTGGCTTAGGACTAAAAGATGAATTTATAAAATGCTGGCCTCATCTCAACCCCGAGGTATCATAAAAAATAGAAAATTGCCCAGCTCTTTCAGACTACCTAACGTTCAAAGTCTCAACAAAACTAATATAGATTTTTTAATTTTATCTTGAAAATAAAATGTTCTGCACTGCTGCTTCTATGACCCTCTTTTTTCTAATGTTATAGTGAATGGAATATAGGAAATATAAATCGCGGCAAATTTTATCAATAAATTGTATAACAAATGTTGAAGGCTTTCAATTATTTTTTTATTAAAAAAAATATTTTTTATATTTACCTAATGTTTTATAAACTTATTGCTAGTAACTATAAACTTTCGTGGTTTTGTTGAATTGATTATTCAGTAATAAATAATAAAAACGGTAACATTTATTTATGTTTTAACATTTTAATGTGACATTGTAATGTGTTACATACAAAATTAAATTGATCTGTAGAAAAAAAATTATTTCCATTAAACCAGTAACTATAGACAAATAACAATTTCGAAATAACAGGATTAGATAATCTGGAATTCTGGATATTTAAAAGTGTCTCTTGTGTATATTAAATGTGTAACTAAGTAATTTTCTTTAGAAATATCTATCTAGAATACAAGATCATAATAAAATTTACCTTTCACAAACATACAAAAATCGATATGGGACACTTAACACGACGCTAGGGGAGCGACCGCCCAACTCTTAAGCCTTAGTTCTAGGCATAGGATAAGACAGGGGATAGCGGCCTGAATGAGCGGTCAAATGAGCGGTCTCATCCCCAGGGGAGGGCACAACGGTTTTTGTTGATAGGCCGCCGAGAACCCATCCCGAGGCTAGCCGCGCGGAGTAAAGAGCGAAAAAGAGTTCCTGTCGCTTGCAAGGCGGTAGAGGTCGTGCCTAATGCATTTCCTCGACGTTAAAAAAAGGCACAGGATAAGACGATTATGACGATATTTCATTTTATATTACATGTACATGTCTTTCGGTGGATAAATGACTATGGGCCGTTTTCTGAATTGAAAAAAACACAAAATCTCAACTGATTATTCTCAATAACTTAAGTTTTTTATGCATCATATGGCAAAAAGTTCTAGTCTTATCAAATCGCTATGAATTAATCATTAAAAAATTATAATTCAGTAATTAAAACCTGTTTATTTGAAGTTTAAAATGGTTTAAGTACGGGTTGAGACGTGCTCAACTTCAAATTATCAATTCAGAAACCGGGCGTAAGTTGGTAACACTGCCATCAAATCCATAATCATCATTCTTATCGTTCTGTTAGGTTGAGGATTTAAAGAGTCTTTTTAAAAAATAATATTTATTTAGCCCTAAAACTATTAGTCCGTGGATGCGACTGACCGAACCGGCGGGATGTGGCAGACTAACTCGCGAGAGGCAGTCCTCGATGCACGAAGCCCTGAAAATGCTGTGTCAGCTGGAAATCGTTGGCACAGCAGTTACAGGAACATTTTCTAGATGTAACAGTTCGTACGTCGTTACAAAAGTACATGTCAACATAGCAAAATATAAAATGGCCATAACATCGCTAAGATGTCGTATGCTATGGCTAGAGTTGGCGTTCGCTCTATATATTTTTTTAATAACGAAAGAAAAACCTTTTGCCTTGCTTTAATATTGTTAACTCTATAAATCCATCATCTTTATATCTCCAGCACGACCACGAGCATCATCATGAGCACCACGACGAACATCACCACCACGAGCCAGGCATGCCCTTCGACTTCTCATACGCGGTCAACGAAGACGGCAACGACTACAGCCACAACGCCATCTCTGACGGTGACATCACCCGCGGTGAATACCGCGTCGCACTCCCAGACGGTCGCACGCAAGTCGTGAAATACACGGCCGATTGGAAGAACGGATTCAATGCCGAGGTATTTTTCCGAGTTAACCTTTCTAACAAATCTCGTCAGTATTTATTCTGACATTGACGTTTCTTCATGCTTCCAATCAGGAGTGGATTTAAAGTAAATGCCGCAGAGCCGTCAATTTGGACATAAAGTACTTATTCCATCTATAGATAAGGCCGGTGACCCAGCATTGGAGGACATTAGACTGATGAAACTATATTCATTCATTCAATCATATCATTTCAGGTTACCTACGAAGGTGAAGCACGGTATCCTGATCAGCAACCGGGATACGGCAGCGGACCAATCAGCGGTGGTCAAGCATACGCACCAGCAAGCCAAGGAGGCGGTTATCAATACTAAACCATTTAGATTTAACTCTTCCACGTCAGAAACCATTCCACGTCGATTTAATGAATACCCAAATGGGTAAAATGAAAATTTCCTATTTCATTATTGCCTATGTATTTTAAGGCAAAATTAAAAAATCTAACATATATTTACGACTTATTTAAATACGATACGATACTATATAAAAAATACGACTCCATTAAATAGTTTCTCAAATGAAATCTATTTAAGTATATCCTCTAACAACGCCACAATACTTTAATATAAAGAGCTAAAATGCGTTAATGTTAAAGGAGCCTCTTATTTATTTACAAAGGCCCCAGATGACAAATGGATTGATAAATGAAAAACTTAAAGATAATTTCAATTCCAAAATAAAACAATTGAATAATTTTATTTCTGTATCATAGTTTTGAATTACAATCTATGATTTGTGTTACAATTTCCATAATAATTTGAAACAACGTTACCAAGTAGTTACCATTAGTTTGTTACTATTTAAATAAGGTATTATATTTTATTCTAGTAAGAAAAAGTGCAGAGCACATTATAATTAAACCAAACTACACATATAAACTCTGAATTATTATTGATAGACCTAATGTGCCTTATTACATTTTACATAAAGATTGAATTTGAATGGCTATCTAAAATTATCTATACATAATTTTCTTCATGCAGCTTAAAGTTCAAAAAAGTATATGGCTATTGAAATGTAAATTATAATTTTATAGAAAATAAATATTATTTACATATAATAGAATAAAAGCAGTAATATGTGATGTAAAATAAAGAAATGCGACAAAATTAATTTAAGTGAAAAATATCTCATTTAATAATACTCAATTTCTTAACTCGAACATCTATATTTATTATATGTATGTACCTGTTGTATATTTAAATTGAAAAGTTGTTATTAGATGTCATTTTGTACCTTATTTTGTATAAAAATAAATAAGATATAAAAATACTAGTTTTATTTTTTCACTTAATACATTATACCAGCTCCTATTGGATTACTATATTTGTAATATTTTCATACTGGTTACTCAATTAAATCTATTTCTATTTTATGACAAATCTTACTATCAACCTTATAATTTTTAACAATTTATAATAGTTTTATTTGATGATAAAATTCACATGTAATAACCATTTTCCTATTATATTACAGTGCATAGTTATTACAAAAAACCTTATTTCTTCAATCAAATTTATATCTTAATTCACTAATGGTTTCATTAAAAATTTATTGCTGTAAATTAGCCTTCGCTGTGCCCATAGATATCTACACTCATCTACAAATGAGGTAAAGCCATAGATTCACTAAATATTTATTATATTTAGCCATATGTAACTCAGTTGTTTATTACTTTACTAGTGGACGCCCGCGACTTCGTCCGCGTGGAAGTCGGTATCCCGTGGGAGTGAGAAGTTTTCCCAGTAAAAAGTACCCTATGTGTTATTCTGATGTATAACCTATATTGCTGTAAAGTTTTATCCAAATCCGTCCAGTAGTTTTTTCGTGAAAGAGTAACAAACATCCATACATCCATACTTACAAACTTTCGCCTTTATAATATTAATAGGATGATTCCACCTTAATAAATAATGGCAGGAACTAATTCATTTATTAACAACACCATGATATTTTTTCAAATGTACATTAACCTCACTATTTAAGCTAAACTTTTTGTCACATAGATAACAAGGTACATTTTTCTCCATGTGTTTTCTTTTAAAATGTTCTGTTCTACGACCGGAAGTCACAAAGCGTTCCTTACAAACATCACAAGGAAACGGTTTGTCACCAGAATGCAAACGCAAATGTTCTAACAAAGTTTTTTTATATAAGAACTTTAGTCCACAATGTTCGCATGTCATACTCTTCCCTTCTCCATGAGTTGCAACATGTTCAACTAGATTGCTCTTTCTATAGAATCCTTTATTACATATATCACATATGTGTGGCCTAATTCTTAAATGCATTTTATTGATGTGACCTTGCAAACTTTGTTTATTCAAACTTTTAAAGGAACAAAGATCACAATTATAATATACTTTTGGGCGTTGTCTTTTAATTTTAAAGTTAGGGTCATGACTTTTTATATGCAATTTGAAGTGAGGGTGAGTTTTAAGCACTTTAGAACAGTGTGGACAAACTCCTTCTTTGTGTGAATTAAGATGTGCCTTTAATGTACTAGACTTTATGCAGTCTTTGCCGCAAATTTCACATATGGCTGATTTGTTTGCTGTTTCATGTGCCAGTTTTATATGTGCTTTAAGCACATTCTTTGAAGGAAATTTCATTGTACATATTTTACAGTTTATCAATTGACAGAGGGGTGTTGATATGTACTCCTTTTCTTGTTCCGTAACATCTTCATGAGCAACCACTTTTTTATTAGTAACAGTTTCAGTTTTCAGTCTAACATCTTCATATTCTGGTAGTTTTAGGTTAATAAACAATCTGCCATTACTAGGCCTTGTGTTTATTTCCTGAATTAGCGTTTTAGTAACTTCAGTTAAGATTTTCCTCTTCAAACTATTCTTTTGTAGTACTATGAATATTTCTATTAATAAACTAATACAGTCCATACAAGCTTGCTCACTAAGAATAATCTAAAAAAAGTTAAGAGGTATTAATAAAGTTCACATATTACAAATGTTTATTAAATGCTAATTAAATTAATAAAACTCTTACATGAGAAGGAAACAAACTATAAATTATATCTTTTAATTTAATTTCAATCGTTTTGTATTCAATCGAAATAACATAATCCTGAAATAAACTGGACATGTTTCCACAACTTTTGAAGCAGAGGAAACATGATAATTTTAGTTTATTTGGATCCAAAATATTCTTCAGCATATCCATCTCTTCGTAACTTAGAACAAGGCGTGCGTTGTTGTCGTCTATTCCGTAGTGTTTAAATACTTTTTGGTCTTTTTAAAAATCACAAATACTTCATACTACATAATACAAAACAAAGTTGCTTTTCGTCTGTCTGTCTAGGGTGATTCAAAAGGAAGGTTTTTATGTATAACAAAGGAGCACGTGGGCGAAGCCGCTGGGGGAAAGCTTTCGTTCTATATATGTTCCGTATAAATTTCAAAATATTAACAAGCGCAAATCATACACAAACAAAAACAAAACTTGTAGTTGTAGTTAGAGATGTGCCGAGTCAGACTGACTCGATTACTTACTCGAATACCTAGCAGGTACTGAGGTACTTGAGTACTTAAAATACAGAATTCGGATACGCAGGTACTCGAGTACAGGATTCGCGTACTTACGGTATTGGAATCAGAGAACACATGATCCAAGAGATTCGAATCCTAAGTCGTGTACTTTAATAGCAACCGTTTAGCTTAATACGTACGATTTTATTTGTGACTAATGGTACAGAACAATTCGTTCAGACAGTACTTCGTTTCGTACTATAATTTTATTTTCGTTGATTACTAATAATTTTATAGACGATTTTTAAGTTTTTAACATAAGTGTTCTTATTTATTTTATATTATAATTGTTTATTTTAAAATTATTTACAGTTTCAATAATTTTATTAAGATTAAAATTATAAAAGCAAGATTTGCTTTGTGTGCTTCTATAGAACTTTTTAATAATGTTCATAATTACCAAAGTATGATTAAATGACTGATTATAGCTGTATTAATCTATTATTATTGAAATACTTTCCTATTGTTCATTATAGTGTGCAGTTGTCGTCAAACTCATGCAAACCACAAAGTTCGATTCAAATAATACACGAGTCCACTGAAGTTTTCGAATACTTGTGCTAATACTCGAACACCTACCCAACTCTTCTGACTCGGGTACTGACTCGATTCTTTTTTTAATGAGTACCAAAGTATTCGAATACCAAATATATCCGACTTGGCACATCACTATGTAGTTATTATTTCGTCCGTGGGACAGCCGAAGGAACTAAGCCATACAGCTAATCAAAACTTGTGAACAAAATCAAAACAAGCATCGCAATCACAACGAAAGTACTCTTTGGTAACGAACCAGTTTTTTCAAAGAGCAAAAGTTTAAATTACCTTTCTCTATACTACACTTTTATGTCTATGACACTACAACACAAACCAAGAAAGAGATATAACCCAAGTTTGGCTGTATGGCTTAGTTCCTTCGCCTATCCCATGGACGAATGAGGAAGTATTTAAAAAATAAAAATTAGTTCTTAAAATCATACTAGATGTCACTCGCGATTTTTGGATTTTGTTTATGATATTCATTCAAATTTTATTTCTGACGTAATAAATATAAATTGAGTATTTTCGATTAATAAATATGACATCGTTTTGTGTTTCTTATAATATCTCACTTTCAAACTAATTTGATATTATTTTAATTGTAAGTTTAAGTTGTTTATTATGTTACGTGTAAAGGAACGATGTTTGGTTGATACGTCAACATTAGTGATGAGCCAACTTATTGGTTGCTCGTAACTTTCTTTTTTGGAATGGAGAACAAAAATGATGATGAAGATGAAGTGTCATTATGCATCCACAAAACGAATGATATTAACATAAATATCAAAATCAATTCAGTCTAGGCTGTTACATAGTACTTGTGAAAGTCGAAAACTTTACTAATGGTTCGCAAAACTAAGGCGGGAGATCTCGTACTGACAAGAAACGGCAAGAAACTCAGCAAGGGCTGCTTTTTTAATTTCAACTAAACAACTCAACTATACTTTATTTGAGGGAACGTAACCACCTAACGCACACGATACCACCGCAGAGATTTTAAGAGACCATAACTACTCTAGGTACTTAGTAAATAATATATTTCAATAAAACGGATTTCTAGTGTAGGTTGTGTAGGAAGTCAAACTATTATTAACAATATTATTGTAAGAACAACAAAAGCACAAACCCACCGTACGAATTAACTTAACACATGGCTCGATGTCCGCCGTCGACATGTAAGATCAGTAGCAATAGTATAATAACTTTGTGATTTGAAATTTAAAGTTATAACTTTGCTGTTCGTTTAGAGCAGACGTTTCTTGTTGATTGCTGATTGTTTATTAAGATGATTTAATTATGAATATAAGATTTAATAACTGATAATAGTTTTATAATGTCTTAATTTCGAAAGCACAAGTTATTTGCACGTTACACTTTGCACTAACGTCATTTTAGCCAGCAGTTATGTTATTTTGTACGAATACATAGTATATTTGATACATATCGGGTAAGTTTATAGATAATAAACGGATTTTTTTATAATAATTATCGTTTTTATGACTTTTGTTTTTGATTAATAAACCCTATTCATCCATTCACCATACATAATATAAAAATATTATTGAAACTTGATGTAGTTTTGTTGTTGTAAGTTCAACAAACAACTAATAGCAATAAAACTAACTTACCTAGTTGTTATTTTTTCAGAACTTTTGTTAAATATTAAAATGAAAAATTCCTAGACCGACAATGACATAAGTACCTATTTTATTTATAAAACTATTTAGCGGTAATATTATTGTATACCGTAGTTAGATGCCACTTTTAATTATATCACAGCATTCAATTGATTTCCATAAATTTAAAAAACCTCTGTGCTCACTTCCATTATGTTAGTTTCCATTTTCCTCTATACAAATAAAAATAAATTTATTCAAAGATTACTTTCTATTAATCGAGTTGCGTTTGCATAACTCGAACTAGTTAAATTTCAACTCGATATTAATCCGAGTTATCAGATCCATAACAACACTAACAAATCTATTCTCTTTGGTTTAACGTCATGAATTGACGTTTAGATCCAACAATTTGTGCTGCCATCTAGTGACATAATTTTCTGTAGTTTATTTTTTTTAAATACTTCCTCATTATAATACTACAAGAAAGAGATAGGTATTTACTACGTGTAACAAACGACAAAGGGATCTTGCTCCTAATGATAGTAGTGCTGCAGACAAAATTCTACCTACCGTTTTTTCGTTATTTATACTGTTATTGACCCGTCAAAAATACATGGAAATTATTCTTACTTTATCGATGTTACTCATTTCAAATTACAACCCTATTTGTTAATATTAAAGTTACAAGGAATCCTTCTATAATGTTACTTCGAAGCTCCTAAGCTAATAACCGTGTGGTTTCTATTAAAAATAACCAAAAATTTTAAGAGTGTTGAGTTGTTATTTTCTATAGAAACCACATACTTATTTGTTGCAAAACTGCTCCGAAGGTTTATTTTTTGGACATTCTTAAATTGTAATTTGCACTCCCAATATTGTTTAGAAACCATAATTTCCAGAAAATTGATACAGAGTGACATATTTTAAGATATTGTGAACAAATTAATACATTTCCAGATGATATAAAAACTATTTTTGGATCAAGTAAGTTCATTAAATTCGCATGACACTTAAATGTTCGATATTTGACACTGCCCCATTCATCTCCCAACGTTAAACGCATACTTTTGCAAATTATTCTAATGAAAACAAAACAGCAAAATAGGCGGTCACTGATATATTTACACGCAATACAATTATTTAAAGCCGCTAATTGTTACAACTTTCATATTAATTGGTATAATCTAGATCGTAAAGAGATGAATATTTTAATGAAAAAATTTAGATTGTAAGTTCATTTTAATATAAATAAACGTATTAAACAAATATTGTATTTTTGTTTTATACCGATTTAGGTACAAAAATATCGAGTTTATTGGTTAGCGGTACTCACAGGTACATAGCTGAACACTAATACCGATTAGTTTCATCAGTTCCTTATAGTGTCAATTAGTTCCAAAACCCTATAATAATAGTCTTAATTTATAAATATATTTGTTTTCTATATACATTCTATTTGTATTATCTTTAACAATCTAATCAGATAGACGCGCTCAGAGCTATTTTTTTAAATTTTATTTAAATTCAAAATGTTACATATTTTATTAATGATTCTATACGTGTAAAGACCACAAACGTGACATTGGCGGAATTGTGTCAATGCAAATAGGCCATGAATTAAAAAAGAAGAAGAAGAAGAAGATTATCAAATATGAGAGATGAAAACGTTATACACATTGAAGATAAAATGTATGAATCGAGAATGAATATCCAAAGTTTAAAGCAAAAATTGATAAATATTTATAAAACAACTAAATTTTGTGGCATTTGTTTGAGTAATGACAAAAAATTATGGGCGACAAATACTGAATTTGACTTGGCTGTGAGCGAACAGATACAAACAAAACTGTTGAAAGATATTATTGATTACATTTTAAATGATATGGTAAGTTTCAAAAAGAAGTGCCTACTTCTTGAAACCACTTTTTATAATCATTATGAATTGTTTGATATGATAATAGATATTTCTAGTTTTTATTTGCTTTTCGTTGCCTCAAATTTTTTTACACAAGTTTAATTTTTAAACAATCTACCCATTTTTTATTTCATCTTGCTTTATCCACATTAATGCTCTTAAGCAATTTTTCAAGGCTGACAACTAAATGCTTTTTCAAGTCCCACTTTAACTTGTAATTCTTTTAGTGTAAACAGTCTTAGAGGATTTGTTTGTTATTCTATCTGTTTGCAAAAACTCTATAGAACAATCTAAGAATGCATGTTCACTTTTACAAGGCACTAGCGTGCAGACAGTTTCTTACAGCATTCTTGTGTTCAAATATGCTTGCTCATTGGATCGATCTGTTCTTGTGATTTAAGTGCATAGCATTAGTTTGATCTAAACTTTGTGCAGAATTCTAGTTCTTTATTCAAATAGCATGAGAATTCTTACTTGTTGATATTCTTATAGTGTAAACACTTAAAACTTTTAGTAATTTTTATGCTATTTATATCAACATCATGTTTCTTATACTTCCAG